GGCGGCGGCGGCGGCGGCGGCGGGGGCGCAGGAAGGTGCTGCTCTCAAGCCCATGCCCGTCCATGCAGGTCTCGCGGGCGCGCCTCGCTTCCTCTTCTTCCTCCTTCAGGCCAGCGCAGGAGACGCGCGGCCGCCACCGCCGAAGCGAGCGGCGCGCCGCGGGCGGAGCGAGGCAGCGGCAGCGGCCACGGGGCGCAGAGGCATCGCGGCGGGCGGGGAGAGGGCGGGGGAAAAGACACAAAGACCGTGAGCGGAGGCCGCGAGAGCCCGGGACGGGCGGACGCTGGCCCGGCCCGCGTGGGCTCGGCGGGCTGACGCTCAGCAGCGGAGCAGGCCGAGCCTGCAGCCGCCGGCGGCCCGGATATCTGCTAGGCGGCCTCTGGTTCGATCAATCTCTGCCCCGCACTGCCGCCCCGCCCCCTCGCGCGCCAGCCAATCCGCGACGCGCCTGCCCTCGGCCGCACCCCCTCCGGCACTCCCCATTGGCTGCGAGCGCGCTTGCGGCCCATCCCGCGCCTCCCCGCCTCCCGCCCGCACGGTAATTCGAGTTCCGCGTCCGCGGGCCGCGAGTCGTTTCGCAGAGCCTGGGCCGGGCCTCCCTCCCCCTCTCCCTTCTGCTTTCTCCTCCACCCTCTTCCGCGATTTACTGTTTCCTCGCACCAATAGAAATCGACGACTGCAACTCTCACTCTCGCCCGCCGTGCGAGGACCGGCCTTTAACCTCTCCCGGGAAGAAGGCGATCGGACTCGACTTCCTCCAAGTTTTGTTCGCAATCGCCCCTCCCCTCTGCCCTGCGCCCGGGTCAGCTCGCGGAGGGAGCGGCGCCGGTCCCGGCCTGTCCGGCGGGCGGCAGGACCCCTCGCGGCAGTCGCCGAGCCGACCCCGCAGCGAGCTGGCCCCGTCTGGGACTCGGCCCCGCGCTGGGGTCCGAGCGGCTCGGAGGGGCTGCGGGCACCTGCGGCCCGGGTGGGCAGCCCTGCTGCTGCGAGAGGCTCGGGTTCTGCTTTCTTGGACGTTTCTCTGCCTCGGGGAGGGCGAGCGGGGGTCTGAGAGTGGGCGAACTTCAACGTGTTCGGTCACAGTGTAATTAGAGTAATGAGAGTGGGGAGTTTTTATGCAGGGTAATTATGCCACGATTTCTTGTTGTTCAGTGGCATTTCCACAGATTTCCACAGTCTGTTAGGTTAATTCAGTGATAGCTCGTTCTATTCTTTTGAGAGTGGAGGGGTCCAAAGCAGGAAAAAAAAAAAAAAAAAAGTGTCTGCAAGGGAAAGGACTACCCAGTGGAGACGGGAGAAGCCGTTTGTGAGACTGATGATAGTTCGCAATTTGCTATCACGATGTGAAGTGGCATCTCCTCTTGGGAATGGCCTCAAGGCCGGGGCCACTTCATACTTTTCTGGTCTCTGCAGTGGCCCGCACCGCTGCCATTTCAAATCCACTTAGTGGATCCTATGAGCAGTCTGCAGCTCTGTCTGCTGTATTAGTCAGAACCTCCAGTTAGGAGTTTGGTATCAACCACAGACACGTGAATATTCCACGTTACAAGGTGCTAATCAATGGACCAGGATAATTGGTGTCAAACCTTAGGTCTCACCAGCTTACTCATTAGACACACTGTAAACTGCTCAAACCGCTGGGTCCCTAATGAAGGACACATACTTGTTTTCACTGTAACTTTTCATTACTTCATACAATGATGACTCACGTGGTAAACACACCTTTCTCTATCCACGATATAATCCAAGCCTTGTGTCTATCTTTAATATGCTTAATAACAGCTTCAGAGTCGCCTGGAGAAATGACTTTTCACGGCAGGGTAGGGGTGGGTGGGGGATATCTGACATTTTTAGATAGAGGGTGGCCTAAATACTGAAGCAAAAATGTACTCCTGCAATTCCTACATGTAATTCGTAAAGTTCATATAACACTAGTGCCTTTTTAAAAAGTAAACATCTATGACACTGGGCTTTTAAAAAAAGTGTTTAGGTGACAAAGACTAACAGCAAAATGTAGGGGCTTAACTTGATTTCGATTCCTATGAACAAGCACCCCACTTCATCAATCATACTTCAAAACATATAACCCCAAATTAAGGATCAATAAATTCAACTTGGCTTAGGTCTTTCTGCTGGTAACTTTTTTTTTCCGTTCAACGCCCCAACTTGTTCCTTAAATAAAGAGGCGTTATAGATTTTTTTTTTTTTTATCAACAGAGGGCGTCCTCGAGTCATTGCAAATCCTGGTGTTAAGAAACAGCCGTTCTTTAGAGGAAAAACTTCACCTCCTCTAAGGTGCTTTATTGCTCTGCTGTTGTAAAATTTGACAAGCTCACGATTTATAAGTCTAACAATTCACTTTTTTATTGCTGCTTAAGTGTTCAGCCGCTAGAGGAAAATGCTAATTTTCACAATTAAACCGCAAGGTGGTTCCTGTTTTCATGACATTAGGCCAGTTGACACACTTGCGGGTAAATTGGGACCGTTGGCAAGGTCTGGGATCAGCTCTGAAATCGAGAGTGTGCCGAATGGCCGTTCATCGTACAGCCGCTCCTCAAGCTTGCAGGCTGCAAATTAAGGAGGATTTTGGACGCTACAAATAAAAATCTGGTAGGGGACCTGGGATACAAACATAAAATTGATAACTTGTAAAGGTTTTTACATTTTAATCAGGAAAAAAATCATGGTGTGATACAACTTGTTCAACTCACAATCCACCCTGCTTCTTGGCAATTGTATTCTTTCTTCCCTCTTTGTTTTCAGGAAGGAAAGGCGAGGTCAGAACAGTACATTTAAGAGACCCAGCAAAGCACACCACCGTGGGTAGGATTAAAACACATGCCAGCAACGTTAATGGATTCTAAACAAGATGCGGTTTCATTTCCTGAACCCGTATGCGCTGTCTTAACTGTTCCCCAGTTACTATGTCTCCGTTTCCAGAAATCTAACACGAGGATCACTGCCTGCTTAACAGATCACCTAGGGCACTGCAAGGCAGGAATCAGACCCAGGCTTGCGATTGCAGCCACTGTAGAGTCAGGGCTCGCCCGCTGCTCCCCAGTCAGGTGAGCAAAGCACCGGCTGAAACAGCCCGGAGTCCGACATCCCAGCGGCCAGCAGAGAGTGATTTGTACTTACATCATTCTTAACCCTTCCGCTCCTGCAGGGGGTTCGTCGGGATCAGGGAGCCCCCGAGCTCCGGAACGCGCAGGACCTGGGTGTGAGAGAGGAGCCCCAGGGCTCGGCGTGAGAGCTGAGCCCCCGGAGGCAAAGAGCCCGGGGCGCGCGAGGGGCATCGCGGCGCGCACCCGCCCGGCCCCCGCACTCCCTCCGGGCTGCGCCGCGGCTCGCAGGGCTCCGAACGGCAGGTGCAAAAAGCATTTGGGAACCGCTTGCCAGCGCGCGGAGGTAATGCGCTTCCTGTCCATTTATCTCAGGAAACCAGCGCAGCCTTCCCTTCGAAACAAAATTAACCTTTCATTAGCCAGCCACTCATTCCCAAGAAGGCCTTAAAAGCTTTACCAGCTCTCTAATGTATTTAGGCTTTTCTTCCAGGCAAACGCAGCCGCGCCGGGAGACTAACAGCATACCCTGGGGGTTCCTCTGGGCTCCCCCGGGAGCCAACCTCCCACCACGTTTCAGCCTGCAGTCTGGGAAACTCCGGCCGACCCGGGAGCCCAGAGTGTGGCACCAGGCGACTCGACACCCCCGAACGAACTTCTCGCCTGAAGCTTCCAGGACGAGTTCCCACTAAGTGCACGGGTGCCTTTCCCACCCGAGCCTCAGCTCCGCTGTGCTAAAGGAAGCCCTCAGGGCACCGGCGAGAAAGGTCAGCGGCCAGCTGGTCCCGGGTCGTGGGCACTGACCGCCCCGGGGAGTCAAAGCGGACCGCAGCCACGATCTAGTGGGTCCGAGCACGGGGGCGCAGACGGGATCCTAGGTCCCGGAGAGACTCATTCGGGGAGGGGGCGTTTGGGGCGCCGGGGCTTTCTCACCCCAGCCCCCCGCCGCCCGAGGCTGGCAGATTTATACCACACAGGTGGATGGAGACCTAAACCAAACAGTCCCAGTCGCTGCCTGCCACTCGTCCCCCACGCTCCCCCGGCCCACCGCAAACTTCAACAAAATAAACAACTCACCACAGGCATTCCCTTGTCTGCAGCAAGACGCTTGCCAGCTGGGAAAATAAGCCGCAAGCCACGCGGCCCGGGCGCAGGAGGAAGGCAGCGCGGGGCCCGCCCCTCTCCCCCAGGTGGGGGCGCCGGGCCCGGGGGCGGGAGTTGGCCTGGCCCGGGGCCGCTCCCCAGCCCCCCGACTCCCGGCGCGAGCTCCCGGCTGGGGTTGCGTCCTCTCCGCAGCGCGATCTCTCCGCCACCTAGGGGAGAGGGCGAGGAGCCAAGTCTCTCAGTCCTCCTCCCCGCCCCCAACTTCCTCGCAGCTGCTTTCGCCCCCTCCAGCCTCCCGCCGAGCCTGAGACGCCCCGCGCCCCCTGCCCGGCAACCTGTCCTGCGCCGCCCTGCGCCCTCCCTGCGCTGCCCGGGTTGCTCCGATGCGGCTGGGAGCGGGCGTGCGGGGACGCCCAGGGTCCCACCACCAGGTCCCAGCCCGGCTCCTCTCTCCCTGCCCCACGCCGGGTCTCGGGTCTCGCACAAAGACGCCTTTCACGCGGCCAGCGCC